TAGAAAACTAGGTAATGACAGAGAGGGAATTGGAACTCAGGTTACCTCCAGTGCTATAAGTCACATGGATGCAAAGAAAGACAGAGCAAGTGGGGGAGCGCTGGTATAGAAACAGGATATGAAATCAGCCTGTTGTGCTCAGCTTACTCACTCCCTTAACTTACCGGAGGTCAGTTTCACCTCTTCTCCAATATGGTATTTTGACCTAACATAAATGGTCTTCAAATAATCTCTGTAGTATTTGGGAAGAACTTACCTTACAAATGGACTTGTAGAATTAAGACGTATTTTCTTGCAGTACTCTAAAGATTTGGTATGTGTATAAAAGAGAGCTGTTTCAGACCCATAACTTTTCATCTCAAAGACACTCAGTAGCTGATTTTGTCTTTAAAAATTATAATGACAGTCATTGCCAGCTGATTTCCTTTCTTTTATTCTTAGAAACATTACATCAGTCAATGTCCAAAAATTGTGATTATTTTTTTTAAATCTGTATTTATTACAGTGATCTTTTATTTCCAGATCAAATTCAGGATGAGTAAATGTGTGTATAGTTTATTCCTATTGCAAATTGTTTTATAAATACAATTTAAAAACTCTTCAGGGATAAAAATAAGTACTTTCAATCAGAGGTGTTATATTCAAATTAATTCATACATGTTATTTTTATATGTGTGTGATTCTACCAGGTTCAATTTCTGTCCCCCCTGCCTTGTGGTGTATTTTTGAAACTATCAGCTTTACTGTCCAATATGGTGACATGTGACTATTTAAATGTAAATTTACATTAATTAAAATGTATTTAATTTAAAATCCAGTTTCTCAGTCACACTATCTACATTTCAGGTGTCCAGTAGCCACAAATGGCTGGTGACTATTATTAAGACATAGAACATTTTCAGCCTCTCAGAAAGCTCTGACAGCATTTTGGAAATGCTGGTAATAAGAATGTCTCTCCTGGGTGCCCTTTATTGCCAAATAATTCTAAAAGAAGCCAGAAGTTCCCTGCGTGTATTTTAGGAACATATCACATAACGCATATGCCTAAACTTGGCAATGTCATGGATTATTTCACAATTGAACAGTGCTAATGTCCTGTGAGGTTTATGACCACTCTTAATGTATAAGGAAGTTTATGACCACTCTAAACGTATAAGGTAATTTGAAAATTTGTGTGCAAATCAACTTTGAATTCAAAATTTTTTTGCCTATAAGAAAAATGTTATAAATCGTGTGACTAAACCTTAGTAATTCCTGAGATAAAAATTATTGGAAATAATGACCAGCATGAACTCAACAGTCAGATTGCATTTTGGATAAGGGATGGAGCCCCATGATAGAGTGCTTGTTTAGCATGTGCAAAGCCCTGGGTTCTATCCGTGACATTGAAACAAAATCAGCATTTTACGGAAGTTATAGATTGGTGGGAAGAAACGACACACACTCTCCCCCCCCAGTACACAACTACACACAGAATAAGATTTGATTAAGTTCCTAATCTAATTAGCCAAGAATACAAAATATCACTGGAAATGAGGTGGCTTTCAGAGCAGGATCAGATGTGACATACTTCAGCCTTGCTTCCCTGACCCCAGAGTTCCTATTAATTTCATTTAAAATCCAGTATCTCAGTCACACTGACCACATTTCAAGTATCCATCAGCCACAAGTGGCCAATGACTGTGATGCTGGACGATGACGACATAGAACATGCAGTGTCTCAGAAAGCTTTACTAGACAGCACTTCATAATGAAGGGCTGGTATTGGGGATGTCTGTCCTGAGTGCCTAGAAAAGGAAAGCCCTGCCACACCTGGAACATCAATTTTTCTGCCCTTTTATAATCACAAACTTACATCTGGAAGAACTTAGTGATGCCTGAATTTCTTCTTTTGGGTCAGTTTAGAAACATCAGTCTTCTGGAGCGCTGACCACACGCAACACCCCCAAATCAACATCCTCATCCTAGGGGGAACAGCAGAGTTAGTACTTCTGCCCCAAAAGGGCCCATTTTCCTAATCCATCCCCTCACTTTGACTTTCTTTCTTTTTTTCTTTTTATCTGCATGCTTCAGAGACTGAGTTCTACCTTACTGAGGACTATACTCACAAATCCACTCCCCCAGAAAATCGAATAAAATTAGAAAAAGTCAAATTGATCTTGGAAATTGGTTCTTGAACCCTGAGGTGGCTTGGATTAGAAGAGGCAGATGAAAACCTGTACAGTTTTCAGGAGGGACCTTCAGATATTCCAAGCTCTCGCCGTCAGCAGGGGTGATCGAAGTGCTCATTCTTATTTCATTTCAGGCTCACAGCTTTGCTTCCCTGGGCAATGGCAGATCCACGTTGCTCATATAAACAGTATATATTTTTTCTCACAAATTGGACGAAGAAGAGGGAGTGAAACATTTTCCAGAGGACATTGAGCAAGAATCAGAAAAGGAAGAAAAAGGGATTGGACTAAAGAGAGTGTGGTCTTTCTAAGACGAGGAAGGATCGCTCTGGGCTGTGGAGATGATGCAATGATCGTGACACCACTGAACATTTGTGGTGCACGTATTCACATCAACCCATTCAATGAGTTAATTGATGAGTTAGTTAACTCGTTAATTCATTTATTTTTGTCTTGAATTTAAGACAGAAAAAAGAGTTGAATGATAGGGAGGAAGCTTGTGAGATGTATATTTTTCTCCCACTCTAGTTATCAGAATTGTTAGAGACAGTACAGAATTAAGCAACCAACCTTTTGTCCTACACTACACGTGTGATTCAGGATACTTGTAAGTAGTGTACAATTAGAAATCCTGTTTTCTTGTTCCTTGTCTTTCAAAAGAAGAGAATGGATAAGAACAGCTACAGAGATCATAGACTACTTTGAAAATACGTAGAGGATAATATACTATTACACCAAATTTAATTAGAAAGATGTATCAGATCACAGGTGGATCAAATAGGATAGACTTGGTTGTGCTTCAGCAACAAAAAAGTCTTGAAGCCATGACAACAAAACTTGTTCTTGCTGACTGATTGTTGTTCATTCTGGGTTCTGCTCCATGACTTCTCATTTAGGGATCCAGACTGATGCAGCCTGTGCATCACTGGGGGCATCTGTCACTCATTGCTGGGTGAGGGGAAGGGCAATATGACAGATCACATGGCACCTAAGGCTTCCAACTGGAAGGGACACACACAAATTCTACTCACATTTCACTGCCAACCAAGTTACCATGTACAATCTGTTATGTGTCTGCAGCAAAACTTTCAAATTTCAATGAACAGAAAACTATCACACTAGGTCAAGAACATCGGAAAGATTTGATCTCTAATTTCCTCTGTAGTTCAAGGCTGCTGTGAGTCCAGCTTAAGTTATAAAATACTTGGCCAGGACTTCTCCCTGGGCAAATAACAGATTTCAATGCCCCCTCAGCCAGGTGGTTATCTTTACAATTAAGACAAGAATGAGACTTCAAATACCATATAAACAGGTATTTTGGTTCAATTTTGAGCAGGAATTGAGGAACTGGGAAATTTTCTCCCCAGGGTAACTAGGTTCTGCCTATAAGAGAGAAGTTTTGGTTTCTTGCTGGCAAAGTTAACTTAGCAGCTCATACATAATGAAGTTGGATCACACAGCTGCGAATACCTTTCCAACCCTAAGATTTTATGATCTAGGCAGGTATCTACTATTAAATGCCAGATGACCAGGTTTTAGGATGCTCAAGACAAGTGTACTTCAGGGAAAGGAGATCTCAAGAAGTAACTATGAGCAGGTTTTAAGAGGAGATTAACAGACTCAGTAGTTAGTAGAGTTCTTAAGCATTACCGAATGCTGACCACAGCACACTAGTTCTCAGTGAATTTAGCACCATCACAATCACTACCAGCCCTTTTTTCTTAATCGTACACATTGAACGTTTTCTTAGTCTTATGAAAAGCCCCGGTCAAAGGCAGTTTTAAGATGAGTCCTGTCAACAGCCTCTTTGTAGGCACAGAGCCACCCATCATGCCTTATTTGCTACCATTGACCAACCACCTTCATTTCACACATGTGAGGACTAGGCCCAGAGAGGAGCTGTAACTTGTTTCACTCAAATGCCAGGTGGAGGCAAGTGGCCAATAGTAGAAATGGCCACTATTTCTTTGAGACCTGTGAGTCAATTACAAGACCCAAATTCCCTTTGACAAGTCTGGAACCTAATTTTGATCACCCAAGAAATGTTCTTTCTGGATCATTTTCCTTGAAATACAATCATGTACCACTTAAGGATCAGGATTTCCTGAGCAATGCATTATTAGATGATGTCCTCATTGTGCAAACATCAGCGCATGATAGGCCAGAGAGGTCAATCACCCAACGTGGCCTCTTGCAATCAAGAGACTCAGTAAACATGAGCTATATGAGAGTGTTGCCATCATACTGTTTTATGGTAAAGTTTTTTCTTAAGAGTAGAAGGAACAGACTCTAAAATAATCAAAAGATAGTATAGTAAATGCAAAACTACTAACATTATTATCACTGTCAAGTACTAGGTACTGTACATAATTTCCTGTGCCATACCTGTCTGTGCAGTAGGCTTGTTTACACCAGAATCACCACAAATATGTGAATAGTGTGTTGCAGCAGGACAATACTATAGGACAATGTCAGTCAGCAATGACATTAGACTGTCATGTGTCTGACATTGACCAACATGTTGCTGTGTGGCACTTGACTGTATTCAACTTCCTGTTTGGCCTCTGTTATTGCAAGAAAGGGCTCTGATCACTCCTAAGTCTTTGCCTGCTTAAGGAGGCTTATGGAGTCACATCTTATTACCACTCACTTATTACTCCTTAGCTTCTCACACTCAACCTGATGGGGTTTTTTTGTTTGGTTGGTTTTTGGCTAATCATTTCTACCCTTTCTGCATTTTTAAGCAGTTATGGTTAAGATAATGTCTTATGGAAGACTTCATAAAGAGCTAGAGCCTTCTGGCTAGTGACCTCTTATTTCTTCCTACAGTTCCTTATCAGCAGAATCCTTACAATCCCCGGGGCAGCTCCAGTGTCATCCAGTGCTACCGTGTGGAGACACCTGCAAAGGGGAAGTGGTTCGCGTCCACAACAACCACTTCCACATCAGATGCTTCACCTGTCAAGGTAAGAGGCCCAATTTCCCAGCTCCTACTTCAGATTCTTGGCCATGCTGTCTGCCAGCACATGCCTCAGGGACAGGAAGATCAAACTCAGGCCACAGGCCATTGGGATATCTATAAAGTTCTGATGAAGATTTCCCTGAGCCTCGTCTTATAAGAATTCTCTTATAAGTTTGGAGAGAAGAAGGAGGTTAGAATGAGAGCACTGTAGGGTATGGGGGACAGAGGGAGCCTGGTGACCTCAGAGGGAGAGGTCTGGCCTGGGGGAAAAAACAATCCTGAAAGCTTAATTTACACATCTGAAAAGACTCCTGAGCTATGCCTATAATTTGAGAGTAAATGACAGTGCAAGCCATCTTGACTAAAACCCAACCTGGGTCTGAGATGAGTACTTACTCTGTGACAGTCCTCAATAGTTAAGTTTATCAAGGGAGAAGATTCATCTCAACTTTTGTAAGATTTGAAGCAGATAGATGCTGGGTCACCTCTCAGGGCTGATGGAGTGGCTCAAGCAGTAAGAGTGCCTGCCTAGCAAGCATGATGATCCTGAGTTCAAATCCTGTGCTGCCAAACAAGAGAAAGAGAGAGAGAGAGAGAGAGATTAGGTCACCTCTCATTGCTACATTTTACCCCTGGCTGAATCCAAGACTCAGATTAGGTGAGGGTTCCTCAAGAAGAAGGATCAACTGAAAGAGCACGGAGAGTCCTCTGGCCAGGGGATCACACTCCCTCCCACAGCATCCCTGACAAATGCCTCTCCTGCCCCACTTCCCATTCTCTGCATCCAGGCTTCCCTGCTCACAGAGCAGCCATTCTGATGGTGGGTTGTTTGTGGGTTTGGAAAATATTTGACCTAAAACCTGCCACTTCCACTTGTTGCTCCCAGCTTTAGCCTCACAAAGTGTGAAACTTACTATGCTTTTCCTTGTGGCTGTACCTCAGATACTTGTAACCAGGTTTTCCCATGTCAAACTGTATTGTAGGTCCTTGAATTGAGCCTTATCTGAAATGATTTCAACCTGTGTTGTCACTCTGGAAGCTTCCTCTTTGATCCATTCTAGGTTGTCACTATCATTCTTAAAGCATGATGCCCAGAAGAGATCACAGTTCTCAAGGTACCACCAATTACAGCAAGCGCTGCTTTTCTGTTTATGTGTCTGACACTAAATTGACTTCCGGAGCAGCTACTACACTGACTTACATTGATTTACAGTCAGTGGAAACTCCCAGATCTTTTCAGATCAGAAACTGCCTCAGTCTTACGTGTCTGTGTCTGAAATTGGCTTTCCCAGCCATGGAGAAAAATTCTAGACTTCTTTCTTCATGATCCAGCTGGGCTCCACAATGAGCAAATGCATATTCATATTCCCTGATTTGTTTATAGAAGCATGTGTGGAATATGTTTTAATTGGTGAGATTTTAATTTTATACTGAGCATTGGCAAACCCCTTCAGGACAGGTTGAATTTCAAGGGTGTCTTGGTGAGTGACTATTTGTACATCCTCAGAAACTGAAGCAGGACAAAAGCTATAAATAATAAAATTGTGTAAGGATGGTATGTGACTCTACAGTTGTGTTCTTAACAAAGTGTTATCACATGCCCTTTGTTTATACCAAAACATAATAGTTGACCTGTGCCCCCATGTGGCTTCTCATACTCCAAATGGCTTGGGCTCATTTATATGGTGGTCTCAGAGCTCCAAGTGCAAGAAGAGAGCAAGCAGCAACAAATAAGATCTATCAAGTCTCAACTTATGTCACATGTGTCAATGTCCTGCTGTTGGCAACACAAGTCAAATGGCCAGCTGAGGTTCAAGTCATGGGGAAACAGACTTTGCCTTTTGTGGGAGGATCTGTAGCATCAGATTTCAAGGGTGTGAATCCAGAAAGGGAATCCTTTGGCCATTTTGACAATCTGCTACAAATGGCAATAGCATCTCTTTCAAAGGAGATTTTAAGTGAGAAAATAGGCCACTATTTTTCTAAATATTTTGTATGTCAGCTTGCTTACAGGTAAAACAAATGATAGGATGTTGGCTTCCAGCAGTAAACAGTAAGGAGTTAGTTACCCTAATAAGCCCTCTCATTTCAAAATTCTAAAATTTCTATACATTTCTTTTAACATGTGCCACTGTGCTGCTATGAAAGGAAGGAATCGTCAGAGGCCAAAACAAAACAAAAAGAGCTCCTGGCATGACTACCAATGCCAAACTTCATCCTCATAGCTTGTGCTAAACCTTGGAGACTTTGAGCTTTATCCTTTATGTCTAAGTGGATCATGGGGAAATAGAGGCAATCACCGAGCCTAGAATATAATGGAAGACCTGTATGTGCAGTTGAGAGTTCCTCATGCAGAAATCTTACTCTTAGTGTATAATGGATAAGAAATAAAGTGGCTCTGAAGAAGGAGATGGCAAGAAAACTTTCCCATTGCATAGAGGGGAATAAAACTGGTAGAAAACTATCTATTGATAATCCATCCCTTACATGATTCATGGATGATATTTATGCTGTGTGTTTGGTATAGTTTTTTAAGTCAAACAGTAACTTTAAAAAGCCCCACATTTGGCAAATGGCAGAAGCAAACAATACGGTCTAGAGTAGGCGATCCTCTTTGGAGGAACTCAACCTTACTCCAAACCACAAAGAATTCCCATAGATTATGTTACTAAGAAAATGAGTAATTCGCAGTCAACAATGCACAAATCGTCAAGAACAGATAGTCAGCAGAATAATGGAGAGCAGAATCAGAATCTTAAAGACTCTGTGTATTGGAATTTTCTGTCACTATAAAATAATGTATAATACAACCCTACTGGAAAAATATAAAAGAAACATGCCTACACACATCAGAGTGAAACTTCAGATCATTGGACGAAGAGGTGATCTTAAAAGTAACCAGAGATAAAAAGATCATCTGGCTATATGTAGTAAATAATCTGACAGTTGACTTTTTAATAGCAACAAATAAACCAGAAAACAGTAGATAATATCCTTCATGTACTGAAAGAAATAACTGTCAAGGTAGGATTATGTATGCATGAAGCTATCTTTCTAGAACAAAGGCAACCCCACAGATGACATTTTGTTTAATAGTAAGAGACTGAATGTTTCCCTGTAAGCTCAAGAAGAAGACAAGGATGTCTGCTCTCACCTCTTCTATTCAACCCTACACTGCAGGTTCATGCTAGGTTAATTAAGTAAGAAAATGAAATAAAAGGCATCCATATCAAAAAGGAAAAAGGAAAACTATCTCTATTTGCACATGACATGATCTTACATATAACAAATCCTAAAGAGTACACTAAAAACACTATAAGAATAAAGAAATTATCAAGATTTTAGGATAATATCAATGGCCAAAATCAACTATATTTTTATGTACTGTCAATGAACAATCTGAAAATAAAATTGAGAAAATAATACTGTTTACAATAGAATCGAAAATTAAATACATAAGAACAAGTTTAACAAAATTTATGACCACTAGAAAACATTAAAGAAGTCCAAATCAAGCAAAAAGTCATTCCATGTTCATGAATCAGAGGGACTTAATATTGTTACTCCAACAACCCCGTTCAATGACTCTACAAATTTAATGCTTATTTAGGCCAGGGCGCCATAACAATACCATAAACTGGGTGGCTTAAACAACAGAAATTCATTTTCTCATACTTGCGAAAACTGGAAAGTCCAGAATCAGGGTTTCAGTATGGTTGGGCTCTGGTAAGGACTCTCCCTGGTTTATAGATGGCCACTGTCTTACTGTGTCTTTACATGGTAAAGACAGACAGACAGCTCCCTGGTGTCTCTTCTTGTAAGAGTACTAATTCCATCTCTTACAGGAATCCACCCTCAAGGCTTCATCTAAACTTAATTACTCACCCAGGTCACATCTTCAAATATCATCACACTGGAGGTTAAGGCTTCCACATAAGAATTTGGGGGCAGCACAATTCAGACCATAGCAAACATAATCTCTGTCAAAATCCCAGCTGGCTTCTTTGCAGAAAATGACAGGCTGATCCTAAAATGCATATAGAATCTCAAGGGGCATAGAATACCCAAACAATCTTAAAAAGTAAGAACAAAGTTGGAGGACCCATACACTTCTCACTTTCAAAACTTGCTACCAGCCTACAATAAACAATGCAGTGTGGCACTAACACAGAGATAGGCATACAAATCAATAGAATGGAATTCAGAGTCCAGAAATAAACAGTTACATTTATGGCCAGTTGATTTTCAATGACAGTGCCATAACAACTCAATAGGGAAATAATTGTCTTTTCAACTAATGATGCCGGGAAAACTGAATATCCATAGACAAAAAAAAAAAAAACCCTGTTTCTTCACACATACATAAAAAATTAACTCAAAGTCAAAGACTTAAACATAAGAGCTAAAACTGTAAAACTCTTAGGAGAAAATACAAGAATAAATCTTTTTGACCTTGAGTTGGGCAAAGCCTTTTCAGATATGACATGAAAATCATGAACAGCAAAGGAGAAAATAAGTATATTAGACATCATCAAAATTTAATACGCTTTTGTTCCAGAATACACCATCAAGAATGGGAAAAGATAACCCACAAAATGGGAGAAAATGTTTGCAGGTCATATGTCTGATAAAACACTTGTGTCTAAACTATGGAAAGAATTCTTAGAACTTAATAATGAAAAGGCAATTAACTCAATTTCAAAATAGGCAAAGGATATGCAAAGACATTTCTCTAAGAAATTATACAAATGTCCAATAAGTACATTAAAATGCTTAATGCCATGTAAATCAAACCACAATGAGTTACCACTTCCCATCCCTAGGATAGCTGCAATCCAAACAACGGATAATACAAGTGTCAGTGAGGATGTGGAGACATTGGAACCCTCATATATGGTTGGTGGGCAGTAAAACAGTGCAGTTCCTTTGGAGAAGAGTCTGGCGGTTCCTCAAAAGGTTAATCATAGAGCTCCAAATTCCACTCCTAGGTATATACGCCAGGGA